CATCCATGCAAAAAATCCCAAGCTTCAGCACTCTGACCAGATGACTGCCCAGCATGTGCTTGAAGAAATCTGAGGAGGAGAATCCACTCAAGCCTAAGTAATTATGTCCATTGTCAAACTGCCCTTATACATTAGGAAATTTATTTTCATCTTCCACCAAAATCTTCTTTCTTATCATTTGAACCCATAAGATCTAACCTTGAACTATGGAGGAGCAAATCAGTCTTTGCCCTCTTCCCTGTTGACAGTCCTTTGGGTATCTGAAGAGCATGATCGCATCACTCCTCTTCTCCATGCTAAGCGTACCTAGCTTTTTCAGATTTTCCTTGCAGGACTTGGTTACCAGATCCCTGTCCACCTTTGATGCCCTCATCTGAACTTGTTCCAAAATGTCTACATAATTCTTAAAGTGAAGCACCCAGAACTGGAGACACTACTCCAGATAAGGTCTGCCCAGCACGAGGTAGAGTAGAAATTTTTAGTTATCATAATTAGATGGTCTAGGAGCACCCAATACTATAACATTGTTGAAGTGTAGGAGGAATGGATCGGATTAGTACCTAGTTGGAACCCCCTGCAAGTCACTCCAACCTTTCTAAAAGGGATATAAATTCCCTGACCTGGATAGCCTAGGTCAGTCACCATAGGTTCCAGGTGCGCATGCACACAAACACATGCACATATGAAAAAATAAAAATTAAATTAAAAGTATATAAATTTAAACAAATGTAGCCATCAAAGCCTGACCATAACACAATTCTGTTAATCTTGAAAACTAAGCAGGCCTAGCGTGTATCTAGATGGAAGGCAGCTAGGAAATTAGCCATGGAACATGCCCATAGAACAAAAGTCCCCAAACTTTTTCAGCCTGTGGCGCCTTTGGAATTCTGACTCAGAGTGGTGGGCGCAACCACAGACTGGGTGCCACAGGAAGCAGAGCCAACCACAGAATGTCAGGGAATGAGGTTATGCATAACTCTAATAGTAACTCTTCCAACATTTCAGGCAAAAGCTCTGTTTTTCCTTGCATACACACAGCTTACTGTTTTTAACTCAGAGAAGATCCTTGTGCTGTGGTGGCAGCTGCTCCCGAAGCAACGTTTTAAAAATCTGCTAAGACAATGGCCAATCAGAAGCTCTGTGGGACAAAAGCTACATCTGGCCCCACCCACTTTCTAAAAATACTTGGTGGGTGCCAGGAAAGGGCACCATGGCACCCAATGGCACTATGTCGGGGACTCCTGACCTAGAATAATGCACTCTGCACTTGCACGGATACAATTATTTAAATAGAATAGTAGGATGAACCAGAGCTGGAGGAATATTGAAGAGCCTCTGCCAACCTTTAGCAGCTATGCTGCCCACTCTGTTGGGAGGACTGAGGAGCCCCCTTCAACAGAACTGAGAAATTCCATCTTTCTAGTTCAGCAAGCAATAAATAATTGCATCATTCCTAAGATCCAATAATTGGAATGTTCTGCTTCATTATCCAGGCTCTTCTCTCTTTAATATTCACGTACTCAAAATTAAATCTTAGCCTAGTTATCCCAATAAGCACTAAGACTCAATATATACCACACATAGGTGGCTAACACAGCTAAGATCCAGACAAATTTTGCTCATTTTTTCAAAATGATCCAAATAGTTGTAAGTATCCAATTCTGTATCACCCCCCCCCTCCAAAATCTGGTGCTTACAGTTTTCTGGAAGATCCTGATAACCCTATCCAGTTGGCAGAGAAATAATCAGAAAGGGCATTGATAAAATTGTAGTCAGTGTGGAAAGTGAGAGCATGTGTGTGTGAGAGAGGGGGAATTAAGTCCATTCCCACACAAACATGAGCATGAACCAGGGCTACCAGCTCCTGAAGCTGGCAACTGGCGGAAGAGCTCTGGGGGTGAGGAGTTACCTGTCCCACCTCTCCCAGAGTCATGACATCACTTCCACCACAAACCAGAAGTGAAATTGCAATGCCAAAGCAGGAGACTTGGCTGGCCTAGAGGGGATATTTTTGCCCTTGCTCCCGTGAGGACAGATGGAGGAATTGGTCTGGGCTAAAGCTTCATTTAGCCCAGCCAATCAACAGGAGGCTTAGAGCAGCCATTTAAGCTAGCTATGCTGCCTACTTGCAGGGTTTTCTGCAGCTGCTATTTCACCCACCCACCCACCCACTCAGCCTAACCTAAAAAATGCAAGATTTGACTCTAGGGCTGGGTTGGATATTTTGGATATTTTGGGGGGCCCTTCAGACAGCCTTGGAGGAAAAGACTTCTTCTACTTGCTCCACTAGGCCTGATCCATGAGACTTGGTCAGGCTCTAACAACGGATGGCAGGAATAGTTAACATTGACATGATCGAGGTTTATAAGATTATGCATGGGAAAGAGCAGGTAGAGAAAGAGGTACTTTTCTCCCTTTCTCACAATACAAGAACTCGTGGGCACTCCATGAAACTGCTGAGCGGTCGGGTTAGAACGGATAAAAGGAAGTACTTCTTCACCCAAAGAGTGATTAACACATGGAATTCACTGCCACAGGAAGTGGTGGCGGCTAGAAGCATGGACGGCTTCAAAAGGGAATTAGATAAGCATATGGAGCAGAGGTCCATCAGTGGCTATTAGCCACAAGGTATAGATAGGGGCTCTGGGGCAAGTGTTGCTCTGTCTTCTTGGTGCTTGGGGGGGGGTCAACAGTGGGAGGGCTTCTAATGTCCTGGCCCCACTGGTGGACCTCCTGATGACACCTGGTATTTCCGGCCACTGTGAGACACAGAGTGTTGGACTGGATGGGCCTTTGGCCTGATCCAACATTGGCGTCTCTTATGTTCTTATGTTCTAACTGATGAACTCCCCAAGGCACAGAAGGATGCAAGCAGGTTTTCCCAAACCAGCCAATCACAGTTGTGCAGCTGGTGGAGTTGGGGAGGGAGTGCCCTTGGTGCTGAGCAGCAACAGCCAAACCCTTAGTTTCTGTAGGGCACGTGGGTGAAAGGGAGGGGGGGATAAGGCTTTGTTCCTCTTGTCACATTTTTCTGAGCAAGCGAGGAGAGAGAAATCTGGCAGCAATGCTGGCTGAGTAAGGAGTCAGGGTGAAGTTGCCCAAAATGCTGGGAGCAAGCAGGGCTGCCCATGAGTGATAACACAAACTAAAGAGGAGGAAAATCTTTAATTTATGCAGAGCAGCCATTAACACAAGGTAGCCTAATCCATATTTTGGTGCCTTGTGTCTGCAAAGCAGCGGGAGAGCAATCCAAAGTGGACTGAAGGGCAATAACAGAGGGTGCCAGATCTGAAGCAACAGAAATCAGCCAAGCAGAACATTAGCAGGGAAAGACTGAACGTTCCAAGTTCAGGGCCCAAAGAGGACAACCATAGTCAGGACAGAAACTTGCCAGGGTTACTGATATAAATATGAAACAGCCTCGCATCTGGTGTTCCCTCAATGACCCCTTGATGATGCCCTATATTTTAATTGCTCATTCTTTGTTTTATATATGTACTCTCCTGCTTTGTCTTTTATAATGTTCTGCTTTTAATTGTTAGCCTTATTGGGCCAGAAAGCAGAATACAAATGTTGTAAATAAATAATAATAATAAAAAATAAAGGACCACATTGAGATGAACTCACCCTAAACTATACCCCCCCCCCCCCCATTCTTTGCTGTGAGGCCTGTTAGCATCTCCTACTCATTCCTGGACGGCACCAGCCTGTCCCTGTTCTGTCAGTCATACCGAGGTTGCTCTATGATTGCATCAACACCCACACCTTGCATTAGCAACAGAGACACCTCGGCCAGCTGGTCTTTCCTCTCCTCTGCCTTTTTTGCTCCCCTTCCTCATCCAGCATCACACACACACACACACACACACACCACTGGTGTCATGCACAGCAGACGCTGGAAATTCAAGCACTGAGCATCCCTGGAGAGCTGGGACAGGTCTGGCACACATTTATCCAGCAGAGTCTGGTTCTCCAGTAATCAAAAGGCTAACTCTACTAATGGGGGGGAGGGAGAAGATACCATCAACACACCTCGTTTTCAAGTGGGGCGAAGAAGTAACTCTAATCTTAGGACTCTCACCCCTCAATCTCTTGCAAAAGAAACTGGTCCAGTCAAACAGGGTACAAAAAGCTGATTTGTAGTCAAAAACAAACTATACTTAGTAATTTTGCCTGATTCGATGTCACAACAACCTATGATTTGCTCTCTATGCTCTGCTTGGGAGAAAGCAATGGAGAAGCTTGTGAGCCTAAGGACTTCCAAAGTTCACACCCTAAACAGAGCCACAATCTCTGAGGAAGGCCCTCCACATTCCTAAGTCCACGTACTGAAAACTAAAGAACAAGTCAGAATGGTTAGGAATGGACCAACTCACCCCAAAGGATTCTGTAATCAAGAACAGCAGTTTATGTTTCCCAGATAAGTTATTCATCATGTAAAAGGCAGACTTTAAACACAAGCTGCACAGACCTTTCCTGCCCCCGTATTTGCAAGATCAAATACAAAATCAATCTGTATATTTCTTAAAGGCTAAAAGGTTAGTTGGATAGGTATATATCAAGACAAGACATGCCAGCTAAAACACTGTCTGACCACCAACAGAGGTAACTGACCTCTCTATAAATCACAGTTTGGCATACCTCCAGCCTTGGGATTTGATTTAGCTAACAGCTTGCAGTGTCATCACCCGGATGTCTTTTTGAGATGACAACAATACACAAAGATTTTGTACTTCTTAGGGATTTGTTTTTATCATCCACTTCACACCGATACATCGCAAGTTCTCTAAACGGCTCCCTCTGTATTCATTCTTACAATGGTTGTGTAATGCCTTGTGGAGATAACTGCCACTTCCAAGCAACAGTTTGGCCTTTTAACGCTTCAGCTCATGCCAGGGATCTAAGCCTTAATGTCGTAAGGACAAAGACCTCGGTAAAATTACACAAGGGAGTTTATTTGAACATAAAAATAGGAACAGAATAAAATGCTGAGAACTTACCACAACCACCTGGACTGGCTGGCTGTTAAACACTCTGGAAACCTCTTGATGGTTAAGGGGGAACAGATGACCTGCATTCAACGAAAGAACAAGTCAATTTACCAGCTGATTATCTCTGAAAGTCATGACTATTCACATCCATGACTATTCACATCCATTGGGGTCATTTACATTTTGCACATCATATTACTGACAAGAAAAGGGCATGATTTTATTCACGGGGACAATTTGCCAGAGAGCTGCTGTGACTGACACCAATAAAATTTTAGATACCGGAATTGTTACAAAACACTGAAGTATTAGAAAGTGAGAAAAAAATAACGACAGGGCAAAGAAATCTAGTTAAGACCTAAAATAATTTTTAAAAGCAATTAAAAAGTTGGAGCCAATCAGGAAAATAGATGGGTGACAACCATGGCAACCAAAGACAAATGGAAGTTCATTGCATTTGAATTATTTGTTCTCTCCGTAATCCAAAATTTTAATTTCTATTTTTGCACACTTTTAGTAACACATTTCTCTGATATCAAGTTAAACTCTTTCCTGTTCCAGGCAATCTGTATTCCACACACTGTAGGAGGAAAAGGACACAATGCAGCATATCCCATGCATCTTATTACAGGCTTCTTAAATTGCATTCTTACATTAGGCTGGTCTGGAGAAGCAGGCAGCAGTAGCAGAGCTCCAAAGCTAGAAAATCAGCTATGGCTATCAAGCTCTGGGACAAAATTTTTAGGCAAGATATATGTAGCATGCACATCCGCTAAAGGCCAGAGCTAAATACAAAAGTACCATGATAAGGAGTCTATAGAATACCCAACCCTGACAGACAGACAGCATGAAAGGGCAGAGATTACGACAAGCGGCTATAGATCTGGGATAGTTTAGCCCTGTGTTTTTGGCAACCAACATTCAAGAGGCCAGTGCCCTTGACATTTTAGAGTCCTTGTCACCAAAGAATTATAGAATGGGGGGGGGGGCAGTAACGGATCAATAGGTTTATTTTTAAATGGCAGTGGAATGTTTATTCTGACCTCTTCACACACAAAAAAGGGACAGTTCAGGAGGTCAGGAGATCATTCCATGCCTCCCTGTTATAAATTAGGAGATGCTAAAGGAGTGGCACGGAGGATAAGAAGCACTTTCAGCCACTGCCATTGAGGGTAACAAACAAGAACCAGATCAGTGCAAGTGCTTCCATGGCACTAAGACGGTTTTATACATTATAAATGTAGCTTCAATTGGAAATTGTCCTTTCTCCAATTCAAATGTCCTTTCTTGTAAAAATACAATAGTCAAGTTTTTCAGCACAGTGAAGAATCCTGGAAGATGTTCAACCATACCTTCTTGCAGGTTGCTGCCACCGTATCAGATACTGATGGCTTTACCACACTACCTTCTCAGTAAAACTGGCTGTGGGGATTATAGTGGGATAATTCATAATTAACTATTAACTTGCACAACACTGTTTCTAAAACGAAAAATATCTACAATTTATGCAGAGTTTGAGAACAGCCTTTTTGAAGCTGAAAACTTTTTAAATTTGTTTTTGTTTGAAGACAGGCTACAGCTCCCTACACTGATTAAACAGCCGTTATCCAGTAGGACAGTTCCACAAAAAAGGTTTACTCCAGTTTTACACCAAGATTCCAGTTCTAATGGGTGGAAATTTTGGCCTGTCGCAGCTTTAAATGTGGAGTGCAGTTTGCAGACACATTCTTAGTTTATATGTATAAGGATCCAAATGCATGCCCTTTGCTAATCAGCATTCAGGTGAAACTAACTTCTGCTGCCAGTTCAGGCAAGGCAACAAACATACTCTCTACCTCAAAACTCTAAACATTGGAGAAAAAAACCTGTAAATGAAAAGATAATCTATTCAAAGATAGCGTTGCTACTTGGCTTGGTTCAATGGCTTTGACCTCCTCTGAGCATTGGAGCAATAAGAACTGAAAGACACACAGTGCTGTACCCTCAGTCAGGCTTCAGATCTCTGCAAAAAAATATATTCTTCCAACTGGTCACTATTCTGAAATATACAAAAGGAAGCATATTTATAGTTATATACAGAAATACGAACACTAATCCACTTACATCCTCCCTCTAAGTGCTTTAACTGTGAAGTAAATGACTTTTGCTTATCTGAGGAAATGCTGTCTTTGTTTTTCTTATATTTGAGATGCAGCAAATATATTCAGGGCTTGTCTCCATGGCGGGTGTCTTTGCTGCATGGGAAGGGAGGTCCCCGTTACTGGATACCATCTCCACAGCAAAAGAGGGGAGGCCTGGCGGGAGCTGGTCCATGGGGTTGCGAAGAGTCGGACTCGACTGTGCGACTGAACAACAACAAAATGACTTGATCTAGTTGTATTGCAGTAACTGGCCACAGATGTTGCAATACAGTGTAAATTCCTATATGACACTGGAAGCTGGAGATAGACAACGGTTCTGAAAGGGATTTTAAGGTGTTCTAATAGGCCCACCATTACCCATGCTGAAGACACTCATTTACTTTGTCCTGCTAACATCCTAAGCTCTGTTCACATGTTACAGTTAATGCATGTAAAATCTGTGTACACTGGATTTTTCTTTGTACATGTACTGAGTAATTTTCATATTACATTCAACTATGTACAGCTGAATGGGTAATTGAAACCACACAATTATCCCTATCTTGATGTCTGGTTTCATTTGAAAAGTGAAAAACACATTGGCTCTTTCTTACAAACAGGTATGTGTATGTACATGCAGGATTATTTGCTTTCACTGTGACATGGGAACTGGACTCCAGATGAACAGGTTTTGCAGGTTTTGAAGCAGTTCTTTCAGAAATTTATTCCAATGGTGGTAATGAAATGAAAGCACAGTTAACCATTCTGTTATTTCAAACACTAAAGAAATGGCAGTGGTCCTACAAATTCCTTATGTTGCCATGTCACATCAGCAGGTGTTTAAGAGATGGCTTCAAATAAGAAGCAGGTTTTGTGTTGCTTATCTCTGTGTCTGGATGCCTAGACAACATACATCCAATCAGCTCCATAGCCCCTTCCCACTGCTCGAGGATGAGATCTTACAGGACAAAGTACAGGCTGTGCAAGTTTGCACAGCTGCATCCCCTCTTTTGCTGTGGAGATGGTATCCAGTAACGAGGACCTCCCTTCCCATGCAGCAAAGACACCCGCCATGGAGAAAAGCCCTGAATATATTTGCTGCATCTCAAATATAAGAAAAACAAAGACAGCATTTCCTCAGATAAGCAAAAGTCATTAAAAAAAAAACAGACAAGTGATCGAAGCAGCCCCGTCTGACCCTGTAAGCAGACATGTGCTGTCACTGTGTCAGAAAGAGACAAGGATGATAAAGAGTCAGAAGAATGTCATTGGTGGACATGAAGGGCTTTTATTCAAAGCTTTCCTGCTTTATAATCTGATGAATTTCTGACACTTTCATTTTCATTGCACAGGATTCTAATACTCAGAGATTAGCCTACCCTGTGTCTCCACTTCTTCCAGAAGGGAGGGAGGAAGACAAAGATCTAGAAATTGGGCGGGCCACAGTCTGGGGACCCCAGCCATCACTTCTCCCCTGCAAAATACCCACATGGGATGATGAGAAGAGGAAAAACTGGTAATTTAAACATGCATTCTAGCCAATGTATGTCTTATATTTCCATTATGAAATGATCTACATAAATGACTATTTTTTTGTGAAAATGGCTACAGTGAAAAGAGGGGAAGCAGAAACCAAGGTTAGAGTGCAGACCCAAGCTTGTGCAGGCCCATGCTTTATACACCATTGACACCAAGTAAAATATTAACACATGTACACCAAGAGTCCATGCAGCTAAGAGGCCTGTTCGACTTCAGAGAAATGTTCTGTGTTTTGCCATTTGTGGCTGGGATTCAAACTCAGTAGACTTGCTTTGCATGCCTATAAATAGCACAGGTTTTCAGCATCATGAAGTCTATGTGGCTATTTTAAGTCCATGGGGTTCAAGGTCACTGGTTTCTGAACCTCAGCTCCAGCCAGTTGCTCTGAAAAGGTTTTCCTCACCTGCCTTTCACTGAACAGCTAACAGTATGTCACCTTTTTGACTGGCCTCCATGTTCCTTCCTCTTCTACACAGATCATCTGGAGCATGATCCTGTACAGAGAGCCAGTTTGGTGTAGTGGTTAATAGCGCAGACTATAATCTGGGAGAACTGGGTTTGATTCCCCACTCCTCCACATGCAGCTGCTAGCGTGACCTTGGGTCAGTCATAAGTTCTTTCAGAGCTGTTCTCTCAAGGGCAGTTCATGAAAGAGCTCTCTCAACGCCACCTACCTCACAGGGTGTCTGTTGTGGGGAGTGGGAGGGAAAGGGATTGTAAGCCGCGCTGAGACTCCTTTGGGTAGTGAAGGGCAGGGTATAAATCTGATATCTTCTTCTTCTTCTTCTACAGTGCAAGGACTGCATTACTGTGCCTAGAGAGTATTGTGATTAAATTAACAGTGGCTTCTTCATTGAGGGTGGCTTCTCACCATCAGTTTTTAATGTGTTCACATGAATAGGAGTGGATTCCTTGGGGAGAAATGATCTCACAAAATTACCAGATGTCTTACCAAAAAACTTCTTAAAGGGGCTGGAACCCAGATGAGTTATGTCGCATCACAGACATGCTGGAGCATGCATAAGATCAATTCAACACACACAAAGTTAAACTCATTTAGAACTGAATACAAACAGTATGTGACTGGCATCCTGAAGTAGTCCAGTCTCCCTCCATTTGCCCTGGAAGAGTTGAATCCCCATTTAATAAAAGGAAGAGAAGACATAAACCTTAAAGTGGGCAACGAAAGGCCTAGATATTGCCCTATGCAACAGAAGGAAGAGCAAGCTGTTCAGAGAGCTCCCCTACAGTGGGATCTGCTGGCCCAACCGTTCAGCTGAGGATAGCCAGGCACACAAGCACCTGTCGAGGTATTTTCCTCTTCCAAACAGCATTCAGCTGCCAAACAGGCATCTGTCCAAATCACATCTATGTTCCGTTATAATGATGTTAACTTCATCAAAGGGGGAAGCGGAGAATTA